ATGACTGAAAGGCAGCCTGTTGCAGAGGCAAAAATCAGGAGGCCTCAGTTTTTAACACACCCCAGTGAAAGGACAGACAAGTCCCTGGCTGTAGTACAACAGGGTTGAACTAGACCTCTTTTAGCCTGTGCAGGTCAAAAGTATGATTTATAATGAAAAGTCAGGCTCCAAGGGCCTCAGAAGTTCAGAGTGGACACAAAGGCACACTAGTTTGGGGAAGCTCTGTGGAGGAACTTGGACTTGCACTCAGATTCAAAGAATGGGAAGGATTAGGGATATGAGGAGGACAAAAGGGCATAAGGGGCTGGGAGAAACAATAAGAGCAATCGAAAGGAGAAAGGAGTTAAGTACCTTTAAGGGTTAATGGGACGAATCTAGCTGGCCAGGTCTGTTGCCAGAGATGGAAAGGCAGAGAGAGGGGAGACCTCCAAGAGTTTGAATAACAGAGAAATGACTCTGGACTTTTCCTGGAAGCAACAGAAAAAATCAGAAGTTTCTAAGCACGTATAAATTGTTAGAGGGCATTCCATTTCCCTGACACTATGTTTTTAGAAGGAAAAGCATGTTTTATTCCCAAGGAGGGCAATGCTGGAAATATATTTTCTGCCCTTCTTCAAACTCATCTCATTTCTCTGATTAGGGATATAACCTGACTGGCAAGATTGGGAAAAGGAATGGGAAATAGAATGGCGCATAAAAGGCCCAGCAGTTCTGGTGGATGAACTCAACTGAGGGAGCAACCAGGAGTTGAGATGCTGGCCACAGCCAAAGAAAGTTCTTCCATGCAGTCTACCAATAATGAAGCTGATAACTGGATGTCCATCACTGTTGACTATTTCCCAACTGATTTAGAATTGAGATGAGGGAAAGGGGATTTGATTTACCACCAGCAGCACTGACTGCTAACATAAATAAGTTAATAGCAGTGTTTCAGAAAGGCTACCCAGGTGGCAGCTGGCAAGATGGACTGAAGGAGAAAAAGGCCGGAGCCTGTAAATCAGTTGTAGAGCTCCTACAGCAATCCAAGCATTCAGTGAATCATTTATAACCTTCAAGTACTATCTAGTATATAATCAATAGCTGCTCAAATCAAAACATGTACTGGAGCCAATGTGCAAGAGTAAATGAAAGAACACAAACAATTAAGACTTAATTACTAACGTACTTTTAAAAAATCAATTAATGTCCTTTCATATCCAAAACTGCTTCTGGGCTAGGCACGGTGGCTCATGCCTGTAATCCTAGGACTTCAGGAGGCCAAGGCAGGAAGATCGCTTGAGGCCAGGAGTTCAAGACCAGCCTGGGAAACATAGTGAGACCTTGTATCTACAAAAAATAAAAAATTAGCCAGGCATGGTGGGATGTACTTGAGTCCCAGCTACTTAGGAGGCTGAAGCAAGAGGATCACTGGAGCCCAGGAGTTTGAAACTGTAATGAGCTATGACTGTGCCACTGTATTTCAGCCTGGGCAACAGAGTAAGACCCTATCTCTTACAAAAACAAACAAAAAAACCTGCTTTTGCTGATCACTGGGATTAATTAAAGGGACCAAAATAATTACATAAAGCTGAGAGAGAAGAAAATCAAACACTCACCAGTCCAGAATTCTATATGGGCTACATAGAAGAATTCTAATATGTCACAGATCAATATCATACAGCCCCAAAATAAAAATTCAGAAAGCCCCATATAACTTGCCCACATAAAGAGATGACCACCCCTGTCTATCTGTCAGCCTTCTCTCAAAGGGTGTCTCCTGGATTTCTAAACCAAGAAGTTCTGCTGTCTTCTAAGTTAGCAGTAGCCCTTGAAAACACTACCAAGCACTTCCCTAATCACTTAAAATGAGATCACAATTAAGTTCCTTTAATTATTGCTACATATATATAACAAAACCTGTAAGGTTTTTTTTTTTTTTTGAGACAAGAGTCTCACTCTGTTGCCCAGGCTAGAGTGAGTGCCGTGGCGTCAGCCTAGCTCACAGCAACCTCAAACTCCTGGGCTGAAGCAATCCTCCTGCCTCAGCCTCCCAAGTAGCTGGGACTACAGGCATGCGCCACCATGCCCGGCTAATTTTTTCTATATATGTATTAGTTGGCCAATTAATTTCTTTCCATTTATAGTAGAGACGGAGTCTCACTCTTGTTCAGGCTGGTTTCGAACTCCTGATCTCGAGCAATCTGCCCGCCTCAGCCTTCCAGAGTGCTAGGATTACAGGCGTGAGCCACTGCGCCCAGCCCCTGTAAGTTTTTTATTAGTCAGAATCCTGATTTTGCCTATACATCTGATACCCAACCTTGTTTTATGAAATGCCTCCTCATTCACAAATGGAATTTATGGCAAAGTCTGTACACTCATCACTTTGTTTCATACCCAACACAATGTAAATATGAATTCCTTAAAAAAGAAGGTGTTGGCCAGGCGCGGTGGCTCACGCCTGTAATCCTGGCACTCTGGAAGGCCAAGGTGGGAGAATTGCTTGAGCTTAGGAGTTCAAGACCAGCCTGAACAAGAGCGAGACTCCATCTCTACTAAAAAAAAAAATAGAAAGAAATAAGCTGGACAACTAAAAATATATATATAAAAAATTAGCTGGGCATGGTGGCACATGTCTGTAGTCCCAGCTACTCGGGAGGCTGAGGCAGGATTGCTTAAATCCAGGAGTTTGAGGTTTCTGTGAGCTAGGCTGACACCATAGCACTCTAGCCCTGGCAACAGAATAAGACTGTCTCAAAAAAAAAAAAGGAGGTGTTGATAAAACTGTACATGTCAGAGACCAGGGGTTTAGTAAGCTGAAACACCTGCAGCTTTCTACTGCCCTCTACACAAAACAGATTCCTTATTAGACTAATCACCCCAAATTCTCAAACACTATCCTCATTCCTCACTATTCACTATTCTCTGTAATAACCAAAAACGGTCACCCCACTAGCTCACGTCTGATCCTTTTCCTTCACAGAAGCTATTAGCCTAAAGAACCATTTCAGATTTCTCCAAAGTAATATGGAGATGAAAATTATTGACAGAAGAATCACTCTGCTACTCCATCTACACATTGGATATCAGATTATGTTCACTGAGAAATCCTGTAAGGTTTTCATTTGTCAGAATTCTGATTTTTGCCTACCTATCTTGATTTTCTATAAGGTATTTTATGAACATTCTCTGTAAACTACATTCCTAGGATCTCACCCAAGCCTCTTTGACAGACAAAAGATGAAATCCCTTGCCAGGAAGAAGGAAATAAATACTATGAGGCAAAATTTTAACTTGGATTAGGAAATTATCCATCTGGTCCCAACAAACTGTCCCAAAAAAGAACTGAACCATTTAGTAAACTCCAAGTTGTAGCACACACCACTTAAAATGCTTTCTCTCTTTAAAATTTACCTCCTTTGTGTTTGGCCCAGCACAGGTCTGATGGCCTCATTACTTTCTGTTCTGTTAGCATTCACATCAATCTCTACATTTTTATGGTCTGATATAATATATACATACACATAGATAGATGCAGATATAAATATCCCGCCTTTGCACTTGAGATTTTAGAAATGTAGATCTATTAAGATAGGGGTCAGGCCAGGTGCAGTGGTTCACGCCTGTAATCCTAGCACTCTGGGAGGCCTAGGCTGGCGGATTGCCCGAAGTCAGGAGTTCTAAACCAGCCTGAGCAAGAGCGAGACCCCGTCTCTACTATAAATAGAAAGAAATTAACTGGCCAACTAATATATACAGAAAAAAATTAGCCGGGCATGGTGGTGCATGCCTATAGTCCCAGCTACTCGGGAGGCTGAGGCAGCAGGATTGCTTGAGCCCAGGAGTCTGAGGTTGCTGTGAGCTAGACTGATGCCACAGCACTCACTCTAACCTGGGCAACAAAGGAAGACTCTGTCTCAAAAAAAAAAAAAAAAAAAAAGATAGGGGTCATACATTTGTTTGGTATTTCCTCAAAAAGATTAAATATAATGTTCTGTACAAAGAAATTAGAGACAAAATGAAAATCATTCTATCTATATATAGATGACAGATACTAAATTCACTGCATAAGGAATGCATTTGCTATCCTGACAGGACTTATAGCCAGGACCTGTGTATCACCCACTCTGCAATGAATCTGTATTTATGCTCTCTGATTCTCTACAGGTCACTGTGGTCTCCTCTGGTCTTATTTACTCAATATTTCCCAAGCACCCGTTGATGTGTCAGGCATTGTGCTACACAATGAACTAGAGAAAAAGATCAGGAATGGTAGTGCACTCAGAGCTTGTAACCTAGGGGAAGCTAGCCAGTTCTTGTCTGCCTGGAACTCTGCACATACTCATGGCTCTCCCAGGCTGCCTGCACCACTGATTCCCATGACTGTGCACCTTCCTCATAGCTGCTCCTCTATCACTCTCACTGCTGCTATTCTAAAAATTGCTGCCATTGCTGTATCAGACCCGGAATACCCCTTCCCTTATACCCTGTTCCTTGTTACCATTTTAATTCTTCTTAGTCCAAAAGGAATGGCAAAAAATTGTATGGTCAATATTAATTAAAGTTATCTTTCTCTCAACAGGAGGTGAGAAAAGTGTAAAGTGGTTCACTTCTGGCTGAAAGCTATGAACATAAAGAGCACATAAACATGGAATTTAAGGGGTACATCTACATAAGGCAGGAAACCAACCACCAACTAAAGAATGCCAAGCACTAAGTATACAGGCCAAAAAGGATGGTTGGGGTCTAAAGGGGGTGGGGAATTAACTCTTGGAGTATCCTAAAACCAAAAATGTTTTGGAACACCATGACTCTAGGAATGTGATTAAAAAACACCACCTCCAAGGACAGTCCCTTGCATTAGAACCAAGTGGTTATCCCTGCTCCCCATCCTATAAGTAAGGTATGAAGCTGAGGTCCACAGGAGGGCAGTGATTTATATCCAGGGGCTTGGGCTAATGCCAAAGGCAAATCGTTCCGCACAGGCCCAGGCAAGCGCTCAGAGCAGGGAGAAAAGAACGTACCTGGCCTTCCTAGACTTTGTCCTGGCTGCAGAGTCAGCACAGCTTCTCTTTTCTTTGGCCTCCTTGGTGCCTGAGGCCTCCCGGGGCTTCCGTGCCTTCTTTGCTCCATCCTTCTGTTTCGGCTCCTTGGGCTCCTTGGCCTTCTTAGGCTCCTTAGCCTTCCTGGGTTCCTTTGGCTCTTTCGGTTCTCGTTTCCTCTTTGGCTTGGGCTCCCTGTCCTTGCTTCCCTTTGCTGCACCCTCTTGTTCTCCTGGCTCCTTTTTCTTCCGTTTCTTCTTCACTCCAGTACCTCCTCCTCCACTGTCCTCCATCCCATTATGGGAGGTCATTTTCCTAGGAAAAAGGGTAGCAGCATCCTCTTCAGCAGTGTACAGGTCCTTCTGGGACAAACAGTGACTAGCAACATCTTCAATCTTGTCTTCCTGATCAGTGCTGCAGTCAAATGGTGACGGGGATTTGTAGTCAAAATTGACAGAGGCATCAGACATTGGGGAGTGATTGAGAACTTTTAAATTTGACAACTGTAAAAGAAAGAGAAACAAGCATATTACCCTTCTAATGCATGCTTCATACAAGAATGTCATTCAGTTTGAATGCATAATTTGTTCAACAAACATTTACTGAGTCCTAACATGTGTTCGCTCCAACTATGCTAGGCCAAGGGACACACATGGCCTTTGTCTTTGCGGAGCTGTACCAAAGTATTGTGAGCATACTGTATTTAAAAATTAGTACATAAAAACCTGAAGAGTTTCTACATTATATGGAGAAATCTGAAACACCTTTGAAGTTTCATGTCTAAAACAGGAAACTACTATAGTCTCCTATAAAATACCTTCAGATGCCACTAGCAGACACAAAATCCCAGGCATACTGTTCTGACCCGGAATGGCCTCTATTGTGTTAATACACCAAAGTTACTGTTCAAATGTGTTCTGAGACCTTGGTCATGAATTAAGGTAGCATCACTAGGGGTGATAAGGAGGCCAGGTCAAATTCAGTGGGATGCTGCTACCTCCCCCTAATCTTTGTTCTCACCTATCATCAAGGAGCATCAACTTTCAGCTTGGGTAATTCTCAACAAGAAAAAAATCAGGATCATTCAACTAAAAAATTTTAACTACAAATGGTGATGTTCTATATGATCATCTAGCTTAGTTACCAAATTGAGCACCAAATAGCCTTTGACCATATGCAAAAACCCAAACTACCCACATAGAAGAATGCTTTATTGTGATAGATGCCATTAGAAAGGATGTGTCACAGGTGCTGAAGGCAGCCCTAAAAAGAAAGTTTCAAAGCTGTTTTTGAGTACTGTCAAATAAAAGTACAGCATCTCAAGGTGACCGCTTTAAAGAAAATATCCCTTTGGAAGTAGAAGTTACATCTTATACTTTCAGGTCTGGTGTTATAAAAAATATCTGCCGTTTCATAACCAAACTAAGTTTGACAATAATCAGGTACTTGTGTGGGTGCTAGCTTCAGAGAACAGCTCACTCTCCTTGGTCTGAAACAAAAAATTTAAGAAGAGCCTGGGAGGGACAAGCAGGCTTTCCAGGAAGATGGTTACAATCGTCTTCGGGTGATGGCTTTGAAACAGCACCATTTGTGAGGAGCCTTTTCTCCTAACAAGAGTCTGGCATGTGCTAAAGGGCACAGACACTTGCCCAGGTGGTATGGTTTCCCTCCAGTGTGCCGGTTACCCAATCTGTGCTCAGACTTCCTGGCCCACCCTGGGAGTGATGGAGACTAGAAAATTCAGCTGCATATTTCTCCTTCTGTTTTTTCCAGTTCCCTTCCCTAGTCTGATGCTCCCAAACATTAACACTGAGAATCTCAGGAGAGAAAGATGAAAGAAAAGAAAGATTTTTTTTTGGATCTTTATCATAAATACAGTCTGGCCTCATAAACAATCCTAAATCCAGAGGGAACTGGTCATTCTGGCAAGACTCACTACTGAAAAAAATAGAAAAACAATTCGGTTTGACCACCTCATTACCAATCAAGTACTTAAGATGGCTTAGGAAAAGGAGGAGCTAAGTAGACATAAAAGAAATTTAAAATCAAATACAAGAAAAAGGCTAAGATGGTAAATTTTATGTCATGTGGTTTTTACCACAAGGCAAAAAGAAACCCAGCAGTGGGGTGACAGATTATCTAGTTAAAGTTCAGATCCTGTGAATATACAGCCAACCTCGGGATATTACTGAATTCTGTGCCAAGGAACACTTGGCCCTCAGGCAACAAGATTTTGCTTAGCATGCAAGCAGGGACAGACTGAAAAAGCAAGGCATACAGGTTTATTTATTAAAGAAGCTTTCAAAGGTAACACATAGAAGACCTAATTCTACCAGGGCAGTTCTCTGTCAGTCAGAGTGAGACCCTCTCTCAACCTCACGTCCAGGTCTCTTTTCTGAAGGATAGGCTCTCCCAAGAAGCTGGAACCAGGTGACAGTAGGGGGTACTTAATCATTAGGGTAGTAACAACAGAAGCAGCTAACATTTATTGAACACATACCATATGGATATACTAGGCATTACATGAGGCACGTTTCATGATCTCTAATCTTTATAACAATCCTACAAGGTCAGCAGAAAAAGAACCATTTTGTATATGGAGAAATGGAAGAATAGTCATGTTAAGTGATATGCCCAAAGCTATACAGTTATCAAGTGGAAGTGCTTGGATTTGAACTCTCCAACTGTCCAAAGCTAATATTCATTTCACCAAGCACTGTATGACCTCCCAGGGAACTGTAACGACTGCTAGGCCACCAGACCAGCATAATGAAACTTGGTTAGAAAACGTGAAATGTGATGGAGTACACAACCAATTTGGGAAAAGGGCAAGCAGTTCTTTATAAAATTTAACATATATCTATATGATACTCCAGCAAATCCATTCCCAGGAATCACAGATAATTATCTAATATACCCCCTCATCTTATAGATAAAATAATTAGTTCAGAGAGAAGAAGCAACAGGCCAAGTATATATTCCCAGACAAGCAGAAGAACTGGGATATCCTAGAGGAAAAAGGGAAACCCAAGAAATACAACAATATTAAAAAGGGGAAAGTATCCTAAAAGGCAGATACTGGCAACAAAAATATATAAAATTATAATTTCAAAAGTCAATAACTGGCCAGGCGAGGTGGCTCACACCTATAATCCTAGCACTCTGGGGGGATGAGGCAGGCGGATCGCTTGAGGTCAAGAGTTTGAAATAAGCCTGAGCAAGAGCGAGAACCCGTCTCTACTAAAAAGAGAAAGAAATTAATTGGCCAACTAAAAATATATAGAAAAAATTAGCTGGGCATGGTGGAACATGCCTGTAGTCCCAGCTCCTTGGGAGGCTGAGGCAGAAGGATTGCTTGAGCCCAGGAGTTGGAGGTTGCTGTGAGCTAGGCTGATGCCACGGCACTGTAGCCCAGGCAACAGAGTGAGACTCTGTCTCAAAAAAAAAAAAAAAAAAGTCAATAACCCACCAAAAATGTTTTTATTTTTAAAGCACCTTATTGAGAACTTTTGATTCTTAGTATTTAAAAATTGAAAGAATTTCCTGTCACACTTCTGCTTTTTTCATAATACACTAACCCTCTGGGCTAGTCTTCCCATGGGTGAATCAAAGTTAGGTAGAAGAAGACAATTCTCCACAGTCTCAGCAATATTTGTGTACTTGGGTATGAGCTAAGCATGTCACAGATCCAAACCTTTCATCACCACTTTGAAGCTGCTCCAATGACATGGCCACCATTGCTTCCCAGACTCCTCTGGTCAAGGCAGGAGAGGAGGCGGTGCTACTCAATGTTTGTAAGTAGTCTTCTTGATGTCAATGTTTTCTACATGTAAATAGACTTAAAACCTCTTTTTATTTAAAGAAAATTTTTAAATTATCTGAAAAAATTACCAGCTTATTTCTGTTAAAAAAATAATAGTTTTTCATCTGTCTCATAAATGTTAGTGATATATTTGATGACAACAGTAACATGAGCTGGAAAAAAAACAATATGCAATATACAATTACTATGTAGTAATAATATTTTAGTTAGAATTGTGTCAACTTTCACACCATTTAGTTTGGTCTTATAAATACCAAAAATAAATGCATTGGCAAACCCTAGGATTCTAGTCAAGATGGACCTGGTCCTCTGAGGCCATCAAGCCCAAAACTACCCTCCCCTCCCATGCTAACAGTCAAGTATTTTTTTTTTTAGACCATTAAAATGTTTTATTGTAAAACATGCACAAAGTACATAAAACACACCTGTACAGTTTAATGAACAATTAAAGCTAACACCATCTATCTACCCCCAAGTCAAGGATTAATAAATAGACTTCCAGTCTCTTCTAAGGACAGGGAGATTCCTGCTCACAGGCACATGCCACGGCCGAGCAGCTCAACTTCTCAGGATGTTTTTCCTTGTATGGATCTAAAACCTATCCTCCTATAATTCTCCCCATGTGTCCCACTCTTGTCCACAGGTCCAGCAATAGATACATTTAACTTCTTTTCCATGCAATGCCCTTAAGTCTTCACTTCTTCAGGCTACACAGTCTTAGCATCATCCACCATACCTCACATGAAAAGAAAGAGTCAACGTTGTTTTGCCATCCCAGTCACTTTATTCTGACCTTGAGTGTATGTTTCAGAACATAAAATGAAGTAGAATGATGGGGGAAAATTGTTAAGGTACGTTAAAAGACAGGGGAAAGCATTTAATGCTCAAATTTCTTTTTAAAACATGATTCTAGGGCAAGACTGTTTTGAGTCTTGGTTTTACTGGACAATTTACTAACTACCCACTTTATACATGTTGGAAAAAGCCTTCCAATGACTACCAAACTCAAGGTCTGACTTCTGTTACCCCTGATGATCTGCAGGCCCTCTGTAGGATAAAGCTGGAAAACTCTGAAGTGAATTATTTACTAATCCATATTATATCACCAATTTGGCTATTCTTCCTCTTTTCACTATTCTGAACTGTGGATCATGATTTAGTGATCCATAGTAGTGGTAAACATCTTCCCAGAGATATGAGTCATCAGCTCCCAACTCCCCATGGCCCAGGACAGCTGGGACCAATTCTTTTGGGAATTTGGAGGTCAGCTAAATCCACCATGCTTCTTTATCCTACTTCACCTCTGGTCACTGTTCAAAATTTAGCACCCCACTCTAGGCCTTTCCTTTCTCCCTTACCACCATGTGCTATGTCTTCCCAAACCGATTCATTATCATTCTCTTCCCTCCCAAGCTTTCCTCAAGAGTCCTCTTGAAGCAACCTCCCTGAAACCTGGCTCTCCACAGAAGATACCACTTCTTTTAGAACACTCTCAAATTCTTTGGTGGGGCTGACATTTCCTATACCCACATACTCTCCAATTCCAAAGCATCATATTCCACCCACAGTGTAAAACTCTGGCTCTTCTAAGGCATATGTCAACCCCTACTTTAACTGTCTGTCTGTAACCAGACTACAAATTTCTTAAGAAAAAGAATTTTTTAGTTACTGTTGAACCTGGCCCAAAGTAGAACTCAAGTATTTCTTGGATGAATAAATGTTGAAAAACTCAACAAATATTTGTTAAGTGAATGAATTATATTGCTATTCATTCTAGGGAAGAAGACATGGTCTAATAACCTGAAGGTCTTTGAGAGTCCTACAGCATATTTTGCCACCCCACCTTTATGTTTTCTAGGGGACCTAAGCATAGGCTCTGCTTACCCAACTTCTGGTCATGGAATTAGGAAGCAAGGTTCTCCTGTAGTTAACTACAAGTCTGGGTTACCTCTTGGTCATAGCTCCAAAGTTTTATTTCTACTTAAAATATGTGTTTCTATTGCATTCATTGTTTATTAACCCTTTTCTACACTGGACACACATCCAAAACCTTCTTACCACTTGAGATTACAAATACCTGCAGATCATATCATATATCACATAATGTTCTCCATATTATACTTTTCTGAGTACCAAGCAAGGAGCTGAGAGAAATAAAAGTCAATATTCTTACATCATAGGTTTATTATCGCTGACATTAGGATGTGTCTCCTTACAAAGAAATATTTTCAGCTACATTATTTACCAATAGTGTTATATGGGTTTTCAATGATTAGAGTTCACATTTTATTTCTCTAGCTAATTTTCTTTCTGCCTAATACTGCTTAGTCATCTTAGAAACTAAAATATATATATTTCTTAAGAGCAGTTTAGTTATTTTTTTTTCTTTTTTTTTTTTTTTTTATTTTTGCAGAGGAAGAGTGTTCAAAAGTCTATACCTCCCCTGAGTGATTAATTTTAAAACATTTTATTAAAGTCTATTTTTTTTTGCAACATTTCTTTAGGCAATACAAAGTCAATCTCTAAACCCTTTGTTCTTGATACACCACTCCTGTTATACCCTTTCTGGTTAATAAGAAGCATGACTATGCATGACTGAGTTTTCACTAACTGGTAAAATCTATCATCTCAGTTTAATTTACCTTGCTAAGATTTTGAACAAAGAAATGAGGAATTAGCAAGATCAGAATGTATTTACATGTTATTTTCCTCCAGAGAAAAGGAAAAATGAATACAAATGAGGGTTTTTAAAGAGTGGATGTTTTATTTGTTGCTACTTCTAACACCTTAGAATGATGGTAAGAAAAAAAGAAAACATTTGATGGTTATTTTTATTTAAGATTTCCTTGCCACTGACATACTGAATAACCAATTACCTCACTGAATCCTTATCTATATGATGTGAGGCATGTATGATTGCTCTCACTTAAGTGATAAAAAAATGAGGCTGAACTTACCCAAAGTTATGCAACTAAGTGGTAGGGTGAAGAGTTTCAATCCTGTGCTATTGAATAATCAAAGCCCAAGTTCATTCCAAAACATGGGCCTCTTCTCTATCAGGCAATGAACTCTTAATCCTGGAACATAGATACTGCTTCAGCGTGAATATAATTTTCTATTTTCACGCTCTGCAACTTCTTGTAATTTAGTCATTAGTATAGCCTAACATCAGTATTAAAAGGAGCAGGATCAACTCTTCCTAAAAGTGGCTCACTTAGTTAATCTACTCCTCTATCATATCTAATATTAACTTTTAAATGAAAAACCCCATTCTGTTCATCAACATTACTGTGAGGTCTAAAACAAAAACCCATCAAACTGAGGCTACATAATAGCTGGCTGACATACCAATATGAATCGGTAAAATCTCAAAAGAAAGAAACCAGAATTTATTTAGGGGTAATTGCTATAAAATGTTTTTATTTAAATAAAAGCTTACCTTAAAGAATGCTTTAAACATGAAATACAGAGATTGCTTTAAGAAATATAAACCTGCTCACATATCATATATGACAATAGTTTTGTGGGTTTGGGGTTCTCTTCAGTAATGTGTTCTTTTTAATAGTGGTATAATATTCCACTAGGTGCATGTGCAATGATTTAAATAGTAACCTTTCTGATGGATGTGTAGGTTTTTTCCTTTTTTGCTATCATAAATAAAACATCAGTGAAAGCCCTTGTACATACTGTTTCACACACCTAAGTATAGTCATAGGATAAATTCCTGGCAGATGGAACTGCATTCTCTATAGTGTTTGCCTATCAGCTGACAACTCTTTATAGAGCTAGGACAGACAGAAATCCAATGTGCAGACAGTATTTAGTCACTGCTCTTTCTCTTAAGAACTGGCAGCAGATGAGTCAATTATTTTCCCAAATCAACCTATCCATTGAGGATAGAACAGAGGGTAGTCCTTGCAACCATATCCCTAAAGTCACCCTATATCTGACTAAGGCTCCCTGGAGCAAACTCAAGAGAAAGAGTAGCTGGTCCCACCCAACCTCTTTGCACAGGGTCCAAGTGAAAAGCAGGGATTCAGATCCCCCAGTTACCAGGTTGTCTTTCAATCATATAAACGAAAACCAGCCCATCAGAGATAGCCTGTTTCCAAGAGACAGAGGCAGGTCTCTCTATCTCACCTCCCTGAGCCACACTGATTATGGTCCTGGAGTTCCTTTGAATATATAAGCACCTGGGACATAGGAATATCAGCTAAGTAAAGAGATCCTGGCAAGATGAATCACACTCCTCTCCCCATCAAGAAACCAAATGCCAAATAGTTGATGCTCATATCCTTCCACTTAGTTCACTATTCCCTCTAGGAGGAACCTATCCACAAATCATTATAAATAAGAATTTTATAAATAAGATTATAAATTTTTATAAATTATAAATTTAGTGTAATCAAAAATCCAAAATGATAAATATTTAAATTAGAAATAACTGGTCACATCTCCCTTTTAGAAAAACTCAGAAAGCTATTCCAAGGGAAGAAACATTTCTCTTCTACATAGCTAATTTTGAACAATATTCTGTTTACAGTTTTCATTACATTTATTCCTATATGGAGATGACTAGAGCCAAAAGAAAAATCCACACATGAAGTCATTCAGAATAGAGCTCTAGGTTACTACAAGAAGACTAGGAAACAGAGACAAGAGGGAAAATGCCAGCGGTTAAAAGATGAAGCAACACTGCCAGTGTCTTCTCTTGTCTAAGAAGTACCAAATAGATGTATTCACTTAAAAGAAACATGATCACTTACCTGCTTCTCTTTCTTCTGTATTTTCATTTTCATCTATTGAAGGAAGATGTTTATTTCTATAAAACATAAAAAAGGCAAAGATTATGATAAAACCCAAAATAAAACATTTTATATCATCTCTGGATTAACTGTGACACACAAGGAAAACATGAAATGGAAGGTTATTTCCACAGAACATTTCATGTCCAAATACCCTTCAAGTCCTAAGTGCAGACCTAATTCTATGTAGCCCTACCCCTGACCCTAATTTACAGCAACAGATGGGATAGAGTCGAAAACATACTGTCTTTATAGATCAAGTAAGTTATAAAAGATGCTGGCATATTAAAATCACAGTGGTAACTAAAAGAGGAATCAAAAATAACAACATGGCTTTATTGAGCGGGGTAGGAAGATGAGGTAGAAGTAAGATAAGCCCTCATCCTCTTTGGACGAAAATTAATAATGTCTACAATAGATAAATCAAGAAATAGAAATACAGACAAAAAAGAGAGCTAAAAGAGTTCAAAGTAGGCCGGGCGCTGTGGCTCACGCCTGTAATCCTAGCTCTTGGGAGGCCGAGGCGGGCGGATTGCTCGAGGTCAGGAGTTCAAAACCAGCCTGAGCAAGAGCGAGACCCCGTCTCTACTATAAATAGAAGGAAATTAATTGGCCAACTGATATATATATATAAAAAAATTAGCCGGGCATGGTGGCGCATGCCTGTAGTCCCAGCTACCCGGGAGGCTGAGGCAGAAGGATCACTCGAGCCCAGGAGTTTGAGGTTGCTGTGAGCTAGGCTGACGCCACGGCACTCACTCTAGCCTGGGCAACAAAGCGAGACTCTGTCTCAAAAAAAAAAAAAAAAAAAAGAGTTCAAAGTAATTCTAAGGAGTGAAACAGGAGTTGGTATAAGGTAGGACATTCACCTGCATTTCATCATAAGCTCTCCTACGTTATTTGATGTTTAAACTATCGGCATATACTACTTGACAAAATAAATTCCATTGTAATATTTCATATAATTTTTAAATGGCTGATTTTACTCTACCAGAGACCTAAATCACATTTCCATTCTAACTATAATGTTCTTCATGACACTGAACTTTTCCTCATAAATGACTCATGAACAGCGTAAGAGCACAGCAATTGGCTTTAGAAGTACAAAAGGCATTGGGGCATCCCAGGGAACAGAAAGAATTATAGTCTATACAACGCAAAATCTGGGGCTACCTGCACCACCAACTAGCAGTACTGCCTCAGGTCTGAAGTTCTTGCCTTCCTCACATACAAACCATGGAAGGATCACAGAATCTCAGCTTCTGGTTCTAGCCCACATGTAGGCAGACACTGCCTCATATTTATTGTTTACTATGATTTCTTGGTTATCCCACACAGTTGTAGAATACTATTCACTCAGAAAACCATCCCAGAAGCACACAATTATCCTGAAGTTTCATAATTATTTCTCATATCCAAATGAATGTGATACACAGGCTAAAGTGAGAAAGTATTTGAGGTGGTAGAGCTGTTAATTAGTTTAATCCTTCCATGTTGTATTCATGAATCAATAACATCACTTTGTACTCAATAAATATAAACAACCATAATTCGTTAATTCACAATTTTAATAAAGATTAAAGTGAGATAGTCCCAATTCTAAGTGAGTTTATGGCATGTTTGATGCAAATATGAAAATGAAAGACATGATTCCAGTCATCCTTGGGACTACTATTACAGTTTATCATTTTAATGTCTGTCAATTTAGATTATTTTTTCCTCTAAGAGTTAGAGGCATTTTCTATAAAAAGGACCATAAAACGCCACAAATTCTCTCTTAGAGAGATGTGTCTACCAGGATACTGCTGTATGTAAAGAGCACAGTGACCAAGTTACAGCTGTGTAACTAGCTGGAGAGCAGGCATGGTCAGGTCCTAGAGACCAAGGGGAAGAGGAGGAGGGCAGAGAGAGAAATGGCTAAATCAAGAAAAGGAAAGTCCAGTTAGTAAATGGGTGCTTTTAAGAATCATTACAAGGGATTTGATAGAACAATTATTCACCTCAAGAAAGACATAAATTCCAGAGAAATAGTAAGTGCTCTGAATCAAGACAGTTAAAACTTAAAAGAATATTCTCTCCTAGGCTTCATTACAGTGGAGCCAGTTCTAGGTAAATTATGTCAGTACAAGTTTATCTCCTTTATCTCTGAACTTCAAATTACCAGGCCACAGAAAACTGACATTCTCAACTATCACAAACTGCCACAAATTCTAAAACAAAGAAAGAAGTTTAGAAAAAAGTTCAGGCTAATAAAAAAAAAAGAGTATTATCAGTAATAAGACATATTTGCTCAAATTAAATTCTGCCCAATAAAATGAAATCATTAGAAACCACAAAAAAATTCCACCAATGGGCAATAAAAATTACTTTTTAATATATAAAGAATCAATACAAGTATAATGCAGTGGAGATATCAAAAAGAAATTTCCAATTCACTACCACAAACTAGCATGGCAAATAAAAAAAGCAGGGCCCTAACATAGCCAGGAATGTGGGAAAACAGGTCCTACTCATCATCATTGCTACTGGCACTTTTAATTGTTTCAGGCTTTCTGTGAAGAGCACTCAGGCAATCTATAAACTGTTCCAATCCTTTCCTGTGCCGGTTCCACTTTAAGGAGTATATCCCAAGGATATAAGCTGGTAGGAAATAAACCTGAGCCTCAAGTAAGCTCAAGGCTGAGGTGAGGAAAATGATAATACCTATCACAGCAGACTTGGGCTTGGGTCAGCGCCAAGAAGGTCAGAGAAGGGCAGATGAGCACAGGCTAGAAAGACAGAGTTGGCCTGAAGCAAGTGTGGCTTGAATTTGAAGCCTTGGAGGAAAGAAGGTAGAGAAATATTCAAAACCAAATCTTTTCCCCTACTCTATTCTATCCTCTGAGAAAGAATGTGGATGTGAAAGCCAAGCAAGTGAGAGTGATGTTACTGTGGAATAGTTGCTTTTCATTCACTGAAAGCAAATGCTGACAAACCTTATGCTACTACTGTCAAATCATTTCTAGCACCCTGATGGATGCAACATACCAGCATGCCCCCATGCCACAAGATAACAGATGTCGACAACATCAATAGGTGTTCAATAAGCATTTACTGACTTTTACTTTTCCAAATAGCATCCTATAATTTACAAACATTCTCTTAAATTACCTCTACTTTTTAAACATTTTTTATGGCATACATTTTCAAAAATACAAAACTATGTAATCTTTTCGTAAGGCTAAATTTTATGTACCAGGAATAGATGAATAGATACACCCTAAAGCTTGTACTTCCGCACAACACTAGAAATGGCATTTTACAGCCTCTGTTGCTGTGTTGCCATCACTCAAAAGTTATGATTAGATCCTTCTGGCTCAATAAAGAACAAATAAAACAGTAATTTCAGGGTCTCAACACTTAATTAGAAACACAGTAGAGACAATTCTGAAACCTCTGTGTGGGCAAACCAGGAAATTTGTCAACAAGGGGAAAAAAACATGTGTATAACTTCTGAATCATGGAAACTAGTAGGACTCCTGCTCTCCCCACTGCACTGCAATGCTTATGTTGAGTGTAGCATTTAATTACCTTCACAAGAAAGTAAGCTGCTAATGATGTAAAAATAAGCAATAAAAAAAGCAACCCCCAAATAAGTTTGGGTTTTTGTGTGTGTGTGTGTGTTTTTAACCATCTCTCTCCAGTTCAAAAATTCAACAACAGTGCCTGTGCCATTTCCAAGTTCCTCAATGCTGTGTTATGGACACTTAAAAAACAAAACATGGGGTTCAACCATTCATTCAAAGAAATCATTCATTCAGGACTCTCCCCAAAGGTCACCTTATCAGTGATGCCTTATGCCTTCCCTAGCAGGTCCCTGAATAACATTGTTTCATTATAACACTGTTGAAAAAAAAAAATTGGCTTCATTATATACCGTTTCACTTAAACTGAGAACTTCCTGCATATCTACTTGGTTATAGGTTTATTACCTGTCTTTCTGCCCCCCCCCACACACACACCCCAGAATGTACGCTTTGTTTTGTTCATGTGATACTCCTGAGTCAGGAACAGGACTGAGCTTGTAGCAGGTACTCAACAGACATTTCTTGAATGGAAGAATTTCTTGTCTTTTGGGTAATCACTAAAATTCACCCTTTCTGTAGCTCTCCTCCTCTCAACAAAGAAATAGGTTCAACTCTATCTGAAAACAGTAACACCAACAAATCCTCCACACACCTGAAATTTCACTTCCATATTACTTCCCTAAAACTGTTCTTAGCAATGACTCCCTAGTTGCCGAATCCAATGGGCATTTTTTAGGCTTTATTCTGAATTTCTTGTAGCATTTTATTTTATTTTTTTGAGACAGAGTCTCATTCTGTTGCCTGGGCTAGAGTGCTGTGGCATCAGCCTGGCTCACAGCAACCTTAAACTCCTGGGCTCAAGCGATCCTTCTGCCTCAGCCTCCCGAGTAGCTGGGATACAGGCATGCGCCACCATGCCCGGCTAATTTTTTCTGTATAGTTGGCCAATTAATTTCTTTCTATTTTCAGTAGAAACGGGGTCTCACTCTTGCTTGAGCTGGTTTTGAACTCCTGACCTTGAGTGATCCACCAGCCTCCGCCTCTCAGAGTGCTAGGATTATAGGTGTGAGCCACCATGCCTGGCCCTTTGTAGCATTTTAAACTACGGCCATTTCCTCTTTTTAAAATTCTCATCTCACTGATTTCTTGAAGGCCATTCTCTCCTGATTTCCCTGATTGCAGGCTTCCATGCTAGCTTCCATGCCTTGGCTCCCCCTGTTATAATGTCCAACCCTTAAATGTCACTGTTCTCAGGGTTCAATGCTCTCAATACCACAAAAGCTCTCTGAGTTTTCTACTCAACTTCCAAACTTCATCTCTCTGTGCAATGACCAGTGCACATTTCAAAATCCAAGCCCTCCTGCTGACCTCTATGTGGGTCTATACAACACCATATTGGCCAGTTACAATTAGGTATTCCACAGGTACTACCAAAATCCCCACAACTGTTTCAAAAC